AGAAATTTAAGGTTTTGTTTTTACAATTGATAATGAGTTTTCCTTTTCAATCAACCGAGTTCTGATGTGAGTAACAGTTGTAAGAAGTCATTTGTTTCATATAAAATCCATTCTACTGTTTAGCATGCAATAAAAAATTGAATATATTAACATAGGCAAAAAAAGATAGTCAATTCATTTGAGCTTCTAGAAAAAATTCTCATCTTTATTTATATCTATTCTACAAATTCTGACATTGTTTATGGTAAATTTATAAATTCTATGCGGTATTTCTAAGTCAAACGATTCTTTAATCTTTAAAAGATGGTTGCATAATTTCAATTCATAAGTTGTGAAATTTTTTTGCTTAGTTTACAGGTAGTCCAAAACGTATCCGGACACCTTGATGTTTTTTCGTATTTCTTGGTTTGTGAGGGAGAAACAGAAGATAAAATCTGTCTTTTTTCACCACTAGATATTTCTTATTTTGTGCAGTGTTTGACAGGCTTTCTAATGGTATATTTGGAAATTACTTTGGATAGAAAATTTCTTATGATCTTTTACTTGCACTGTAGTGTTAAGCATGTTCAAGAATCTGATTTCTTTTGAAATAGTTCATATTGTGAAAATTAACTTTCTTCATTGAAATATTATGCCAACAGATATAGCTTGCTCTGCTTGTTCTAGCGATGTACAAATAATATTATAATAATATCAAAAAAACGAGCACCTAACATATCGGAAAATCGGACATTTCAATGAGAAACGTTCTCGTCATTCGAGATAATAATCGAAATTGCTTATTTTTATAAAAAATCTAGTATGAAGTGAGAACTATCTACTGACGAAAAAAGAAAACTAATATCTCTTGTTTCCATTTCAAAAACCAAGATACATTGGTGTCCGAATACTTTTTGGACTACCTGTAACTCATGTTCGACTTGGAATTAGGTGTGGGTGTCGATGTGAATGAGACGTGGTTGTGAGCGTTGGTCCGCTTCTTCACTCCACGCACACCCACACCCACATCCCACAACCACACCCACACACTCCACAACCACACACCCACATCCACACCCGCACACCCACCCACACCCACACCCACACCCCAAACCCACACCTAGTGTTCTTACTACTTCCTATACTTACTGGATCAAAAACACCGCTTAAGTATCCATACAAGGCTTTATATCTCTGCTCCGAGATCTGCATTTAGGAAGCGTTCTTTCTGCGCCTTTTTAATAATATTCTAGAAAATGTTGAAAAATTCAGTGAAATGGCTATAAACGAAGAAAAAAGTTTTATTAATGTATACCATTTTGTTGTTCTCATCTAAATACTCAACTGTTCTTATGAATAAAACATGTGCTCAAACAAAAGGCATCAGTTGAAGAGTTTTTCTGATGAAAGCTATGTATTTTTGATCAAAACTAAAATCAAAAATAGCAATTAGATAGCCTTTACCTTGTCCACGTAAACAACAACGTTTGTATTGAGATATTCTAGTTGTCAGCAGACTCAATTACTATGTTATGCTATGGTAAACTACTGTTAGTTTTTAATATTGAATAGCTCGATAAGAACATCTTCATTTTCTTTAAATCATTCTAGAGTATCTAATAACTATTAGATCTGTCTGTAGACTAAAGTCCAATTTGAAATTCTTCATTTTATTTTTTTGGAAGATGTTGAAGTCGCAAAAAAAACGTTTGATTAAAACAGCGATAATTCTATAGTAGTAAACAATCGATTGAAAATCTTTCGAAGTGATTCTAAGTGTGGTAGATGACTTCTCGTAGCCACAATCTTTGATAATATTTTTTTAAAAATATTTCAGTTTTTTATTTAAACAACCTGATTGAAATAGAAATTTTATTTTTTTCATTCGAAAAGAAAACAAAGAATGATTGCTTTGTTTTTTGTTTTGTAAACATAAAACATTTGTATTCAATCTGATGTATTGACGTTACTATTAAATGATCCATCTTGAAATAATTGTAAATATTGTTGTCTTATAAGTTCATTTTTGTCCCATTCAAATTGAAATGTATCTTGTTTATCTACTTTATTTCTAAGATAATCTGGTTTAAGACAATATTCTTTTAATTTATTAAGTAATTGTGTCTTCGTTCTATATCGATATTGTTCATTAGTATAAATTTCTGGATAAACTAATCTATCAGGTACAATCGGAATACAACCAGCTCTGCAAGCTTCTAACATAGCAACACCAAAAAATTCATGTTGAGCTGTTGATACAACAACATCACCTTCCATTAATAATTTTTCATAGTCTGATTTTGATTCTACAAAACCGCAATGACGAATATAATTCGATGGTAATTTAGATAATATTTCAGAAAATATTGATGGTTGTTCACCATAAGATTGACCAAGAATAATTAAAGAAAATTCTAATGAATATGTTTGATAAAGTTCAAGAATAACAGAAAAGAATGTTTCAGGATCTTTATCATGTTCCCAACGATGTGGCCAAACAATACATAATGGACCTGTTTTATCATTATTTATCTTAATGAATACAAAAAAGGTTTTTTTTCGCTTAATTTATTTATTTAAATAAAAAAAAACACCTAACCTTAATCGGTAATATTGTTTTATCTAATGGATAATAAAATACTTTCGATTTATTTTCAATTATTGTTCGAATTTGTTGAGTATTTGGTTTAGGTGATGGAATTCGATTAAGAAAAGATCCAATTTTATCAATAAATGTATTTAAATTATAATAAGAATTAAATAAACAAATATCAGCAACTAATGCTGTTAATATTTGATTATAACCATATTGAAAATCTCTTTGTTCTTGTTTTTCATTTTGTTTTGGATAAGCTAAATCATTTTCATGAAAATAAATTATTGTTTTTAATGAACGAAGATCAATACGAAGAGATATTAATTCACTTAAATTAACAATTGATGAACTAAATAAATATTTAAATGAATGTTCATTTTTTGGTATCATATCTGATAGAATTAATGATGAACATCGAGCACGCCATGGCCATTTTGTACCTGGTAATGTTATTAACATTGAACGTGGAGATAATATTCGATGAAGAAGATCTATTAATGAACGATGAGAACCATCATAAAAAGCTTCAATTAACAATATATCACACATCTGAAACGATGTTTATTTATAGTTTAAAAAAACTAAATAAATCATTATAGAATTGTCCAATATGTCGATAAATAGAAAAAACAAGAAAATTACTAATATTAATAATTTTTAGATTTTCATCAACGAATTATTTTTTCATAATAAACTTGCTGCTTGAAATTCTCTATTGATATTCAATGTTTTATTATTCTCATAGATTAGGATACAATTAATAATCTTATTTTTGTTGAGGTGTTTCAATTGATATCATAGAATTGAAATGGTTTGTTGTAAGATAAAATATTATCAGGACAAATCTAATAGACAATAAGATACAAGTTTTTACCTCTAAAAGAATATTTCAAGTAATAAAATATATTTAGTTGTTTCATGCTGATAAATCCTTCTTTTTATTATTATTATTATTATTATTATAATAGCTTTTTTATTGGATAAAGTTTTCATAATATGAATCTCGGAAATATTAAATTTTCAAGTTAATTATAGAAAAACCAAAACCTATGACTTACACAGAATAAAAACCATAGAGATCTTTATAGTGCTAATCAGTACTATATTATACCATCAATCTGACGAACATATCTATGTTAATGGCAATTGTTATCTTGCTTTTTTTTTTATATATTCGTAATGAAAAACTTAATATATTGTAGAAGAAGCAAAATGTATAATAATAGTGATCAATTGCTAATGCATATTTCTTTTGAAAGTTCATATTCATTTATTGATTATAAATATTGATGTTAGTTTATACATTAAAAAAAACCTCTTGAAAAAGACTTTAAATATTTGAAACAACAAAACTATTACGTATTGAATAAATTATAAGAAAGCAACAAAATATCTATTCACATATCAACAATTCTTGTCTCTATTATTTTCTTGATTTTTTTTGTATAGAAAAATTTATTAGGATCGTTGATCGATATATTCAATATGAAATTCTTGTTCAATTGACATGATTATATCAATGAGACAAGTATTGAATCGAGAGCATTTTTTCTGATGAGAAAAACAAATTCTAATCTAAAAAGAATCTTGTCATTCGTATGATTAAAGTCTTATTCTTTCATTATGATCTGCAGTTAATTTGTTTGATAATCATCTAGCTTAATTCCTATGCTTTATTCTTATTATTAGTATAAACATGCTACACTAGTTTCTCATAGTTAAAGATTAGTAATATAAAATTTCCTCAGAATATTAGAATAAAAGAAGTATCTATTTTTAAACATTCTCATAGAAAAATGTTTGTCGAGTAGATTATTTAAAAAATTGGTCAAAAAAACTAAAATAGAATCATTTTATTCAATTGTTTAATTCTCTTGTTTGTAAAGCATTTTTGTAGTAAAATCTTTATTGTAGAAATGACCGATAAAGTATGTGTTAATTATTTCTTTAGACATATAGAAAAAAAAAACTCACTAATGATTATCTCTCATTGAGTTCTGTTAAAAAAGCTTCTTTGTTGTTCTATTAATTGATAGAAAGACTATTGATCCAACTTGAAAATGCAGAAGAATCAAATTTGTAACGTCAAGGAGAAAAAAAATAATTTAAAAAAAAAGACATAAATAAGAATATTGACTTGTTTTATTATAAATCTATTTGTGAATGATAATATGTTTCTGAACATATAGATACATGAAAATAGAAAAGTAAAACGATAGTATAAACTTTTAACAAAGATATAAATATATTTCTTTGATTGTGAATAGAGATAAGTGTGACTTGTTTTTCTAAAACAATTTTAAAAATAAATAATTAAAGGATAAGAATAATTTAATTAAAGTTTTAATTATAATTAGCATGAAAATAAAATAGAAGATAATATTATGAAAAATCTATATAATAAAAAATAAATAAATAGATAATTCTATTCGATAGAACGATTAGATTCTAAACAATTTGATGTTAATCGTCTTCTTTGTAAATGTTCAAGATTTCTATTAATAATAAAAGCTGGACTTGATGCTGTTCTTGAACGTACTAAATTATATTGTGAAGATGATGATGATGATAATGATGATAAACTTGTTGTTTGTTGTTGATTATTTGAATAAAATTTAATTTTTTGATTTAAAGCTCGTTCTTCATCGATTTCAAGTGATGATTCACTTTCACTTAATTGTTTATAAAGTTGTTCTCGACGATCAACTTCAATTTGTAATTTTCTTTGTAAACGTAAATTTTCATCTTTAGCATTTTGTTCATCTAAAATAAGTTGTTCAAGTTTTTTTTTATGTATTTCTTGTTGAACATTTAATTCTTGACGAAGTTTTTCAACTTCTTCTTTTAATTGTTCAGCATAATCACTATTTATTAGTGTATTATCATTAGTTAAATTTGATTCAACTAAGCAATTTGAACCGGTATTTAATATTTCATCATGTGTTAAATCCGTTGTAGATGATCGATCATTACTCTAAAATAGAATTTGACATATTTTGATTTTCAATTAAATAGACATAGCATTATTTATTTATGTGAAATTATTTCTAAGGAATTCAATAGTTTATTTAGATGAAAAAATGAAATTCTTTCTAAGATAAATAAATAAAGTGTATAGAGAATATTTATTGTTTTCCTTGAAATTGATTCAATTGTTGGTTGAGCAAATATAACGATAAAATCTCAATCAGATAAATCTATTTATTTCAAAATTCAAGTGTAAAACCTCAATGAATAATAGGTGAAATAGAAATGAATTTAATATAAGAAAAAATGTGATAAAATAAATGAAATTCAATTGATAAGAATTGAATATATTGTTGAAAGTATATAGAGTAAGACATTTCAGTAATTAATATTATCAAAATTCTCTCACGTAATTCTTTTGGTCAATTAATAAAAGCTTGTTTTGTTTTTTTTTCTATGCAAATATATTCCACCATGAGAGAAAAATTTTATCCCATCAGATGAAAAAAAATTTGTTCGAGAATTTTTCTGTTCACATAAAATTGTGTTACTCGAATTGAATTCTTATTAAGAAAAGATGAGACCACATAGATAAAAAAATTTTGTTTTTGAATTAATCTATCATTGCTCATTGTAACAATGTCTAGCAAATGGTTATCTGTCTTGTTTTCATCCATAAACTCTTTATAGAGGATACTCTTTGTTAGAAAATATCTCGATAAACATATTCATTTAATTCAAATCAAACTTAAACTATTCGTAAATCGTTCCTAGACCGTTCGATGTAATTTGCCTTATATCAGTGATGTTTACTATAAGTGACTAAAAACTAGTAGTAGTTTGATAGTTGAAAGATTGTCTAGTGTTTTTGATATACGAATAATTATTGTCTCAGTGTACAATCTACTACTGATATAGATCGATTGTTGTAAATAGTGCTATATATCGGCAGTAATTAATATGAATGAATGTGTGATAGATGAGTAAAGTTTATCAAAAATAGATATTTAATTGTCAAATAAATATATTCTTACTGTATATTGTGAATGAGATTGTTGAAATTTTAATTGTAGTGATTTATTATCTGCTTCTAATTTTTCCATTCTTTTCCATAAACGATTAACTAAATATTCTTGTTCTTTTTCAAGTATATTTTCTAATTCAACTTTTTCATTTTTTAATTGTTCCTACAACAACAACAAAAAAAAAACAAAAAATAAATAAAGTAAAGAAGAAAATGAACTGAATATACAAGAGTATTTTGTTTATTAACCATTTCAGCTTCTAAACGATGAATTCTTTTCATTAATTGATTTATTTGTGAAGCTTGTTCTTGTTCTAATGATTGTTCTAAAGATTGTTTTTCATCTCTAATTTGTTGTAATTTTCTTGATAAATCATTCGTTAAAAATTCTTCTTCACGTTCATAATTATTAGCTAAAGTTTCTTTTTCCTTTTTTAATTCGTTTATTTTTTTAAAAAGTCTATTTGAAATAAATTCTTCTTCTTGTTCAGTTTTAACTTGCATATTCATACTTGAACTTTAAATAAATATTTAGATTTCTTGTTTTTAAATAAATAATAAAATATTTTACGAACTGTTTTAGTTGTTTTATTTCTTGTTGTGAAGCTTTTAAACGTAATTTAAATGTTTGAAGTTCAATTTGAAGAACACGATTTTCTTGTGTCAACGAATCAATACGTTTTTCTAAATGTTCACAACTTAATTGTAGATCATTTTTATTTGTTGTTGAACCATCAGTTATTGATGATACATCCGATTCATATTCACTGTCAGTTTGCATTGATTGAATTATACTATATAAAATAAATAATAATCAATTTTATTCTCTTTAAACTTTAAACAAAATAATTCTAATTTACTTTTCATTACTCATTATTGATTGTTTGATAAATGACTAGAATTTTATTTTCAATAATTGCAACTGCCTTCAATAGAACATATTAATTATACAGTCTCGAATTGTCATATTCTCTTATGACATTTTCAATATTCTTTGTTATTTGAGGTATAAAACATTAATGCACTATGAGTTTGTTTGATTAAATTAAAAAAAATAAATTCAATAAAAATATTAAAAATATTGAAAATATGTTAATATTTAAGAAAAAAAAGGCAAAATTTTGATTGATATTAGCGCTAAGGTATTTATTGGATGATGGACTTTGCCAACGTTGTTTTTCTTTGTGTAGCACGAAACAGTCACTGATTCGATGTTGGTTTAATACATAATTATTTTAGAATATTGAAATACTCATTTGTTCTTTTTTTCAAATAAATCAAAATTGGAATGTCGAATTTTCAAATAAGATCAATTATTCTTTTTGTATGAATTTTACATTTTTTTTATTTCAATAAGAGAGACAAAAAAAATTCCTTTATAGGTATGTTATTGTTTTATTAATGTAAATGGCGGTGCTATTCAATTAACAAGTACTAATATTGATACTATTCTTTGTAAGTTAATTTATTTATTTATTTATTTAAATATAAAATAGAATTTGTTTTTTTAGCATCATATGATATTGTTTTTATTAATTTTTATGCTAATTGGTGTCGATTTAGTCAAATGCTTGATCCAATTTATAATGAACTTGCTGATAAAATTGCCAAAGAATATCCAGTATGTTTTAATAAAATTAATTATTTTTAAGACAAAAAAAAAAATATTTATTTTCTCTAAAGCAACAAAATCTTATTGCTATTGGCAAAGTTGATTGTGATTCTGACAATGCTATTGCAACAAAATATCATGTTAATAAATATCCAACATTAAAATTATTTCGACATGGTATTATGACCAAACGAGAATATCGTGGAGCAAGGTTTTTAGTTTTGTTATTTTTCTATTATTTAATCTAAATTTATTTTTTATTTAGACAAGTTGATGCTTTTTTTGATTTTATTCGTAAACAAATTGAATCATCAATAACTAAATTATCAACACCAAGTGATTTAATAACATTAGATTTAAAAAAACGTTATATTGTTGGACATTTTGATGATGAAAATTCAGAAAATTATAAAACATTTTCAAAAGTTGCAAGTCTTCTTAGAGATGAATGTAATTTTGTTGCATCATCAAATAAGTAAGTTTTTTTGAAAAATTTAAATCTTCTAAAAGTTATTTAAAGAAGAAATATTTATTTATTACGAATAAATCGAATTAATTTTCATTGAAAAACAAAAACTCAAGAACTAATTATTTAGATTTTTAAATAAAAGAACAAGTTGTTTTAATAATTTTCTTTTTTTTTTGTTGCAAAGAATAAATCATAGAAGTTGTCTAAGAAATCTCGAATTTTATTTATAGAAAATATTCTTCAATGTATTTTATTAGACACAGATAGATTATCTATTTATCACAGTTTTAAATCTTTAATTAGATTAAATTATTTATTTAAATTAGAAAAAAAAACAATAGTTTATTTTATTTTACGAAATATTTTTTTAATAGTGAGAATAGAAATTAATTTTTGTTTTAGTCCGAAATAAAAAAAAAAAATCTTTAATAATGTTAAAAAAAGGTTTAAATGTGCTAATAAAATTCATTTAAAAGATAATATTATCAAACAAATATTTACTTAATAATAGATTAGGTCATATTGACTTATCATAGATATGACCTTTAACAGGTTCTATTCCGTTTTTTTATATAACTAAGTCATGCTTCAATCATTAACCTCTTATTGTGCATTATTCACAAACGTTTTTTTTTTTTTTCGTTAATACCTATTGATTTATCTAATATAACCTGATCAATTATGAGAGTTGAATATGTTATTTACTATTCTCGTTGTCTCAACAGAATATGAATTATATTAATAAGAAATAAATAATTTCTTTTTTTTTTTTGTTAACAAGATGATCGATTATTTGAATTGAGTATAGGATTTGTCTTTATTAAATATTTTATTAATAAACTTTTATGATTGATAAAGAAATAAATATATATATTCACTTCTCGTTTTTTATTTTATTTTATTAATCCTATCTAGAAAATTTCTATTTTTAATATTACTGTTTGAGATCTATGAGGCTAAGTTATTTTTCTCATTATTATGTAAATATCTAATCTCAATTAATATGAGAAGAACTAAAATAATACAATTACTAGATAAATATTTAAATGAATAAACTTTTTTATTATTCACAGAATAGTTTCATTCAAATATGAAATAAAATTTTTTAATAAATTATCTAATACATATTATGACTTTTAGAAAAAAAAAATCTACAGAATAAAGTTAAGGTTTTCCGAGTGGTGTTAGCAAATATTGATATCTACTAGCACGATTTTTTTATTCGATGAAATGATTAAAAAAAAAACAAAATGAAAATTTTTCGTATAATGTCACTAGTTTTAGTAGAAAAACCTAGAGAAAAGAATAATCGTCATATAATCAATAGATGAATAAGATGATATTGAAAATATAATGTTTAAAATTTATGAAACAATATCGAATATTAATCAATTATTTTCTTAAGACTTTTGACAAGAATATTTAAATATAAATAAAATAATAAGTGAGAATAAATATAAATTAATAAAATATTGTCAAAGATTCGAAATCAATAAGATATTTATTAATCTAATGATTAATAATAAAGATGAAATTTTTCAAGAAATTCTTGATAAAAATTTTTTGTAATTTAAGAAAAAAAATAAAATTGATGTGCACAGAAAACGGTCGTGATTTCAAATAAAATGAAATCAATGCATTGGTAGCCTGTGCTAAATAAATCTCGAGAATAATCATTTTATTTATTTATTTATTTAGTAAAAGATTTATATGATTTATCTCGTATAATAATAATAAATTAATTTCTATATTTGTAGAGATGCATTTAAAAGTGAACGTCCATTAACAGATGTTATTTATTATCGTCCACCATCAACATTAAATGAAAAAGAAAGTTATTATATTGGTTTAATAAATGAAATTGAATCATTAACAACATGGTCTCGTGATAAATGTGTTCCATTAGTTCGTGAAATAACATTTGCAAATGCTGAAGAATTAACTGATGAAGGTTTACCATTTCTTATTTTATTTCATAAAGCTGATGATCAAGAATCTGTTGCCTTATTTGAACGTGAAGTTGCTAAACAACTTCTTAATGAAAGATGTAAAAACAAAAAAAAGAAGTTTTTTGTTTTGTTGTTCTAAGATAATATTTTATTTATATTTTAGCAAATATTAATTGTTTACATGCTGATGGTGCTCAATTTATTCATCCACTTCAACATTTAGGAAAATCTTTATCTGATTTACCTTTATTAGCAATTGATAGTTTTAAACATATGTTTCTTTTTCCTGATATTAAACTTATCTCGTAAGATTTGTTTGTTTTTTTTTTTTTGTTTAAGAAAAATAATTTTTCTTATTATTTATTTATAGTGTCGATGGAAAATTATTAGAATTTATTAAAGATCTTCATTCAGGTAAACTTCATAAAGATTTTCATAATCCACCACCACCAACACAACAAACATCAACAACAACAATTGTCTCAGTTGCTGTAAGTTTATTATTTAATACAATAATTAATTTTATTTGTCTTGAGTTTTCGAATTCAATTTAAGAAAATTAACTATTCTATAGAATAAAAAATCAAAGAAAATGTCTAATACCAATTTTCAATAAGAAAAATACTTCGAACAGTAGTGACGAAAGTTTGTTTTTTTTTGTTCCATATAGGAAACTCGAAGTATGGAATCTACCAAAGATTCTCTGCAATACACAAAATAAACTGAAGAAATTTCTCAGTTTAAAACAAATTAAATTTTCCTTATCGAGAAATAAAGTTTCCTCTTTTAAAACTGTTATAGATGATATGTGTATGTCCTATATAGGTTTTTTTTTTATTCTTTCGGTTCCTTTGCTTTTAGGTATTTTCTGAAAGATTCTTTTTCGTGCGTTGAATTTTTCTGAGTGATCTGTTTTTCTAATCAATGCCGCCGCTTCAATCTACGAATAGATTGTTCATCCCTGATTGAAAAACAATAAGAATAAATTATTTTCATATTGTCAGTGTTAGTTTTCTCTGATAACATATGATAATCATATAACTAGTATAATAATAATAAAATATGAATAATATCAATTTGTTATTATAAATGAAATAAATATTAAATGATATTGTCCTTGTGTTAGTTTATATATTTATATGAATATGAATATGATATTGATGTCAGTAGAAGAGAAAAACAAGTAAGAACTAAAATCGTATTTGATCTAATGTTAGTGTCACATATGATAACAAACAGTTGTTATCGATATATGATTATAATGATATTATTTTAAAAAATAATCAAATATCAGAAAAAAAACAGAAAACGACAATTCTTTGTTGTTTTCTGTATCATTGAATATAAAGTTAAGATTTTTGAAGTCATTCGATATTTGAGATTATTTTTCTATTGACTAAATCGATATAAATAAATGAACAAAATATTTTAAATTTCTTTGAACAAGTTCAATTATAATACATAATAGTTATTAAGTATTCTATTAAAATTGATTTACTTATTGACTTTCAATAGAACAAAAACTTATCTTAATTCTATCTAGTTTAGAAATATGTATATATAAATGGTAAGATTCTAATTGATTTGTAATGTATATTGAGTAGATGTTAGATGTTGTTTGTTAAGTAAGGTCGACAAGTTCCAGGTCATTGAGATAAAATAATTCGAATATGTGTTGAAGAGTTGTTTGCGTACGAAATGATCTCTAAAAATAAATCTTCTAAATGACCTATCGGAAAAAGAAAAGTTTTTGTCTGTATTGGTAAATGGCATTGCTAAGAATAGAAGAGAACATTTTTTTTTTCTGTCTATTCTTTTTCTTCGAATAGAATTTCCAAAAGAGGATAGAAATTATTTTTTTTTTCTATCTCTATATGTTACTGATAAGAACAGAAGAAACAATGTACTGTCTATTCATGAGAATGTCTTATACTAAACATAACAAAACTTTTTTTTCTTTTTTTTAATAGCTAAACATATCCTATGAAAATAATTATCTATCGAAAGAATTCTATCAACAGTTTAACTTCTCTCAAAAGATTTTTTTGTAAATCAATAGTTCTTCAAATTGAAATATTGACTGAATAATAATGTTTCTATTTTTTATTTCGACTTTTTTAATAGATAAAAAAAAGAATTTCAACTGTTTTATTACCGTTTTGTATTCTGTTCTTTACTTTTAGTTTTTTTTTTTTGTTTGTTTCTGATAATTGTTAATTAAAAATAATAATTTTTAGGATGATGGTGATTCAAAAACGAAACATATACCAAAAACTCCATCAAATGATAATATAGATTCAGCATCAAGTTCAATGAATAATTTAGATAAATCTGGTTCACATCAATCATCACCGCCTGAATCAGTTTTTATTCGTTTAACACCAAATCGTCAACGTTATTCATTTCGTGATGAATTATAAAAAATAAATACATTCATTTTAAATTGAATCTCGACGTTCCGCTTGTTGCTTCTTTTTTGTTAGAAAATTCTCTTATAAGAAAAAAAGACAAAAAAAAAAAACAAAAATTACATTTTTTCTTTTTTCATGTAACTTATTCGACAATAACAAACACTTAATATTTAAACAATATATTGATCGTGTTTTAGTTAATTTAAATGATAATTAATTATTTTGTTTTAGATAATATAACAAATAAACAAACAAAGTATGCGACGACATCGTCAAATAGCTTTACTTGGGTTTCCAGGTGTTGGTAAATCTTCACTTGCTCATCATTTTGTTTATAAACAATTTTATAATGAATATGATCCAAATATAAAAACAAGTAAAAAAAAGAAAATTTTTCATAAAAACAAAAAACAAATTTATGTTTTTTATTAAAGATCTTTACTATCAATGTGTTATTGAAGGTGAAGAATATGATTTAGTTATTGTTGATAATGCTGGATCTGATCAATATACATTAAATCATAGTGATTTTGATACAAGTGATGCATATGTTCTTATTTATGCTATTGATGATAGACAGAGGTTTTAACTTTTATTATTATTTGTTAATATTATTTATTTATTTTGTTAGTTTTGAAATGGTATCAAAAATTCGAGATAAAATAATTTCAACTAGTCCTACAACTCGGTTAGAAATATTTTTTTTTTTTAATGAAATATATATATTATTTTTTTCTTAGAATACCAATTGTTCTTGTTGGAAATAAAATTGATCGAAAAGATGAACGGTATTTACATATTTTAAAACAAATTTATTTCAATTTTTAGTTTTAGTTTTTTTTTTCGATACAATTATTTATAAATAATTTTCTTCAAAGATAGAAATCAATCATTGAAATCACTTCGATTGTAAAAAAAAAACATTAGTAGAGACTTCTCTCTCATTTTTGACAACATTCTTTCTACTTACTGACATTTATTGTTTTTTTAATTCTCTAAATGAACACATTTTATTGATGTCGAATAGTATTCCAGTTAGAAACTATGTTATTTAGTTTGATTTAATCATAATATAGTTATCATATTCTAAAGAGTAATTATTCTATTAGTTTATATTATGAATATTAATTTGAAAATCTATTCAATATTATAGTTAATCATATACATTTAATTCATTGTTTATAATATATATTTCGCATAGTTATAGGATAAAAGCAAGTGAATCTAATCTTAGAAATTGATTAATTATTTCAATTAATTATTAATGTTGATGTCTAGAGTGAACAGATTATATATGTCGAATGATATTATAGATTTAATTAGTCGTTTAGTCACTAATATAGATTATCAAGAAAAAGAAAAAAAAATTATGGAAATAAATAGTAGAAAATATTGTTATATTAAGATAAATATATAATTAATCAAAGAATTTATTTGACGTTTGTAGAGTTCAAAAGATCAAGCATAATTCATATCGTGTATATTGATCAATCTTTACTACTAACTATTGAGTTAATCTATGATAAGTAAGAAATAAACAAACTAAATAAATATCATCAATTGAAAAACATTTATTTCAAATTCGACATATGTTTTTTCTTTTGAAAATAATTGTTAGAGTAATAAATATTTAAGTTAACATGTATATATATATATCATATGAAATACTATAATCAATCTGTAAAATTTAATGAAAAATCAGCGAGTTCGAGAAAATAACTAACAATTTATCGGATAAATCGTCAATTTTCGATACAAATCGATTTTTGCGATCTACTCTATATCATATATCCGATGATAAAAATAAATAAAATATCTTTAGAGTTGTTTCAAGTGAAGAAGGTCGATTATTGGCTCGTGCATGGAATGTTCATTTTATTGAAGCATCAGCTATGAATTTAGAGGTTCGATTAAATTATTTTTAATAATTATTTATTTCAATTAATTATAAATAGGCTGTGAAAAAATTGTTTGAAAAAAGTATTCATGCTATGAATTATATTGATCCAACAGAAGATACAAACGAAGATAATTCAACTGAAAAATATACTAATGATATTAACTCAACATCATCCTCTCGGAATGGTTTCAATAAAAAACCAAATGGGAATTTATCAACCAAAGAACAATCATCAAAAACAATATGTACTATTTCATGAATTTTACCGTTTTTCTTTTCTTTTTTTTTTTCTTCTTTTTAAATGTAAATACATTCGTTTCTTTGTACATTACTTTCTATCATTCAAGAGAGAGTTTTTGTTTGTTCTCCTATGAAAATCATTTGCAAAGAAAGAAAAGATTCTTGATTTCCTTACATATTTACTTTTTATTTATTCATTTTTAACATTCATAATCAAAATTATTATTTCTAATTACGAAGAATACAATCAATGCATCAACTATACTCTCCCACGATATCACAGCAATCATTTATATTGAAAGTATCATCGATCATTAAATTTAATTCGATATATTAATTAGAATAGAAAAGATAAGTCAACGACTCTTTTATTTTTTTTGCTCCACAATAATAATCAACATACAATTTATTTTTCGAAGTTTTCTTTTTTTTTTCCAGTTAAATAATCATTTTGAAATATCTGTTAAATACAACGAATCAAAATATATGATTATCTGTCACTAATCAGTATGATCATCATACAAATACTGATCAATCATATTAGACAAATTACCAAAAATAAAGAATGAATTCTAATTCAATAAAAATCTTTATATGTTTCTATCATTTTTTTTTCTGAATTATTCTTATCTTATTTTTTACTTTACACGTACCAATGATGACTCTAAAACTCTACATTTACGGTCTTAACAATTAAATTAGAGAAACATAAGCAACAAATCATCATTCCCATATGTATTTAATAGTGAAAATCATCAACTAGAGAATGATAAGCTTAAATACAATGGTAGGTCATCATACATGGTAACATTTCGACCAACAATGTAGAGAAAAGCATGACTTTTTACTGTAGAACCTATACCATGACATCATTAGACATGATCAAGGTTTTTTGAAAATTTTCTACATTAATGGTCTCAAATACACTACTTATGACTTACAAAGTTAACATTTATGCTCATCATCCTAAGTAAAACTTCACTTATATTAAGATTTATATTATGAGTATGGATGTATTAGTGTGGTTGAAGATAACGCCTAGGTTCACATCCTATTTTCTATCTTAAGTGCGATGAAAATCTTATTCATCTTGAGTTTATTGAATTTGTATTTATCATTTGCATATGTTAAATTATTGATAACTATAGGAATAAATCAAAAAACAATCGAGAATTTTTCTTCTCGCTAAAGTTATCGAACAGATTGAGATCTCATTGAAAACAATTTAATCGTTTCTACGACTAATGTCCAGTTCAGAGTTAAATGGACATGGGTATCTTTCGAATAACTTTAAAACAAAAACAGAGAAATAACTCTAGTTTTCCACACTATCTACAATCGACATTACTGCATCTTTTTATAAATTTCACAGAAAAATCGAATTGCTTTTCTTCTGAGATACAACATCGATTTTAAAGATGAACTTAATCCTCTCTTTGAGAACTTTGTGCTTTCTAAACTATAATATAATGAGTAGATAGCCTACCTTCATCTCTATCGATGAGCTCAAGCCCAACATTGATTGTTGTTTTACTTATCTAAGAAGTTAACAAATATTTCTTTATAGATGTCTTCGACTTCATGACATGATTGATTAATCTTTGGACTTTGTTTTTCTATTACGAATGTCATCAGAATTGATGTATTAGTTTATTTATAATAATGGATCAATGTTTTTATTCGATTAAATCAATAGTCTGTAATGTGACAGCGCATATTCGGAGATGGCTTCATGTAGTATAATTCTATTGCCCTACTGTTACAGTCAAATGACAATTGAGTAGCTTGAGGATCATGATATTCCATGTTCAAAAGATATTTCCGAAGTAGAATTATTAAAGTTGACTTTTGAAAATTTACCAAAAAAAAAAATAAGGTGGAAGAAGAAACAAATAAGTATCGAGTTGATATGTTATGATAAATGGAATCTACTCATATAATCTTCTTTTCTTAGATCTTCTTCTTAAATGTTTATCGACTAGACATCGCATACTGAAACCTATTGTATTAACTTGAGCCAATATGGAAACCTGTGGTCGTGATAGAAAAACCGAGTTTACTTTGACAGAAGTGAGAAAAGTAGCACAAAAATGAATACATGGCTATAATGCAAGGGAAACAACCCATTACATCAATCATTTCAAAGAATGTTAAGACAATATTTAACAGAACAGACATTTGTTTCGAAAAAATTGCAAAAAATTTCATGATTACAATGATGATAAGTATAATACTCATAGTAGAAATCATGCTGATGACTTTCTATCATCAATTTGCGTTAAGATCTTCGAATCTCTTTTTAATTGACTGATTTGAATTCATGACCATTTTGCAATAAAAGTATTAATAAAATATAGAGCCAAAAGAGTTTTCTGATTTATTAATTCCTTTTCATAAAATAACGTTCACAATAGGAAAACAAAATCCAAAGATTAATCAATCATGTCATGAAGTCGAAGACATCTAAAAATTTCTATAAAGAAATATTTGTTAACTTCTTAGATAAGTAAAACAACAATCAATATCGGGCTTGAGCTCATCGATAGAGATGAAGCTAGGCTATCTACTCATTATATTATAGTTTAGAAAGCACAAAAAAATTTTCAAAGAGAGGATTAAGGTCATCTTTAAAACCGATGCTGTATCTCAGAAGAAAAGCAATTTGATTTTTCTGTGAAATTTATAAAAAGATGCAATAATGTCAATTGTAGATAGTGTGGAAAACCCAAGTCATTTCTCTGTTTTTGTTTTAAAGTTATTCGAAAGATGCTCATGTTCGTTTAATTGCGAAAGGAACATTAGTTAAAGATTTCAAAAAAGAACTGTGTTTATGTTGAAATTTGATTATATAAATGTGTAAATAATTTAGTGTAGGGAATATAAATTGAATGAAACGCCCACACGGATTTATTAGTATATGTCGTTTTCTTTTACTTCTGTACGGATAAAAAAGCCGATTCTGCGATTTTTCTTCTGTGATAGTATGCAAGAAGAAGAAAATTGTTAAGGTTGCCACTTGTTAAATTTTCACTATAGATTCATATACGTTACTTCATTTATTCTTCAAAAACAAGTATTTATATATATATAGGTCACGAAACGAAAGAAAAAACAAAAGAAAAATAAAGAAAAGCTTAGAAAATAAAAATGTAAATGAACGAGATGTGTGTTCCGGTAACCTTCTAACGATGTCATTTCATCACTTAAATTCATATTCTTGATTTCAAGATCTTTCTAACAGTCTTTGTTTAAGAACATTGAATCTCTACGGATGAAGAATCTAGCGGTAGTAGGTGTATCTGAGTTAGTGATCGAGTTATGCAAAAATGTTTAAAATCCTGTCTAAGTAGTACAAAACGAAATCATAGGTTGTTTCACAAGATCGAGAAATGACCCAAAAAAATTCATAGTTTAGCAGGGCTCTTAGTCTTCAGTATAGAGTCCTTACTTATTCAAACATGATTTTACTTAATAAATATATTCTACTTCTCTTTGATTACTAATCAGTGCATTTTTTTCTGTTTTTCCTTCCTTGTGAGCATTGCGAGCAATTATGAAAATAAGCGCTTTTCAAGAAAAAAAAAAAAAGAAATCGGAGAAAAATATACTGTGCATTTGTTGTGTCTACTGTGACCGATAACATTAATACTAATGGGTTGTGGAAGTACGAGAACTGCTCCTGACACCATGGACATGATGGACTCTGACTTCGAAACAACGATTCAGAGAGTTCAAAGAACCTGGCCAGCTGTCAAGAGAATAGATAACCTAGGTCCAAAGACATTTGCATAGTAAGTCATTGAGTTCTTTCAATTAGTTTTGAAATGACATTACAGAAAGATATATCGATAATTATTCTGTTTCGAAATCCAGTTAAGACTGTCTACATTCTTGCATTCTTTAGTCTACTGCATACGTATCCTATACTCAAGCGGATGAGTCATGTGTCTCAAACTTTAAGGACTCCAGCCGATCTGCTTCGTGCAACTGAAGTTAGAGAGACTGGTAACATGCTTCTTGCACTTTATTCGGATATTATCAAAAATGCAGATGTTAATCTGGATGAAAGAATACGAAGCAAAGCAATAGTTCTCAACAGGCAAGGCATCAAGCCACGTCTAATCGAAGTAATTAAAATCTACATTATTTCCTTTAATTGGTCATACTTCTTTTATTGTAGCATTTTGGCGAAAGTCTCTGTCACATAGCTACACATCAAATTAATGTCAAGTTAACATCGAATGACAAACGAGCGTGGAAAACTTTTACTAACTACGTTTCGAATCAACTCACTTCCGAAATGTTTATAGAGAGCAACGACGAAACTCAATTTTAGTTGGTATCATCTTTCAGTACAAAAATGATTCAATACATGCATTACATATTGTTTCTTACAAGAATCACATTTCAAAAAAAAAAAAAACTAATAAATTACTTTGTCATTGACTTTCTTCTTCCAATCTGATCTTCGCGCTGATGATTAGTTCCAGCTTTCAGTTTTAAAACATTCTCTTAGAACAAAGTACTAAAATGATCAAAGTTTATTAGTTTTGGAAATACATTAACACAAGAACTAATTATCTCATAAAAAATTCAGTGAAACTAAAAAAGGAACTTTTAGAGTGCTGACAAAACTGTACTGCAGGAAAGGTATCATCGAGAAGGGAAAAACAAGTTGACTGTGTTTGTATTTGAAAATGCAAGACTTCTTTGTCGTATCTCATAATGTCTCTAATATATTTCAATATTCTAAGAGTTTTGAATTACTTTACTGTATATCAAGCTTTTTCAGGAATTTTGAAGTCTTTTTTCGGTTTTTATTCGTGTCCGGTCTGTAGCTAAACATGAAGACGTTATTGAAATAATTTTTTTAAACAGCAAAGGAAATTTCACGTTAAGTTATCATAGTTCTAACCATAGAATGACTTAATTTCGAAACGTATTCCAGAAAGATCAATCAATCACTTAGTGTTTTTGTTTCTAGAAAAAAGAGCTCTTTTCATTCACACCGAAATCTAC